ATTTCTGCCGGTGCATCTACATCTATGTGTACATGCTCATACACATGTATGAGTGTATGTCGTATACATCTACATACAAACACATATATTCGGCGACACAGATGGCATACGTATTCGGCGATACAGATGGCATACATGTATACGACAATAGGTATACGTATATCTGCAAGTCGTACCTACACACGTACATGCGGACGCACATACGTGCTTACTTTCTTATTTACATGTTCACATGCATTGTGCATCAGGACTGACATACCCACATGCAGAAACAGTTCATAATGTTACGATACTGTTACATGCAACTACATACAATTAAACGCGATTACATGCACAGTCAGGAAGTTGAATATTTTGACGGCACATGGAGTTGCGCGCAGTTCCGGTTACAAACGATTACACACAGTCAAATACCATGAGGGTATCACAGACAGACAGACAGACAGACAGACAGACAGACAAACGTAAACACATACAGACATACACACATGCAAATGTGCACACACGTACATACACATGTACATAAATACATACATGCATACATATCCAACTTCCTGTCGAGGAGCCTTCGAAGTCTACAAAGATTTGGGTGTATTCATAAGGCCTGCGGTTTGTCCCTTATGATGGCTTCTGGGTTGGCTGGCTCCGTAAAAGATACAAACGGGCATCCAAATTCCAAAACTTTTTCAGACGATTCTAAAACTTTCTCGAAAGTTGCCAAAACGTTCTCCAAATTTTCCAAAACTTTCTCAAGATCTTCGAAAACTTTCCAAAAAGTTTCCGAAACTTTCTCAAAAGTTTTCCAAACTGCTTTCCAAACGTTCCCGAAAGTTTCCCAAACTTCTTCAAAAGTTCCCAAAACTTTCTCAACCGTGTCCGAAACTTTCTTCAAAGTTTCCGAAGTTTCTCAAAAGAGTTTCCGAAACGTTCTTAAAACTTTCTCAAAAGTTTCCAAAACTTTTTCAAGCGTTTTCGACAAGGTTTAACAAGTTCGAAACATATGTTCAGAAAAGTTTCAAGCATATTCCCAAAAGTTTGAGGCACAGTCTCACGGACTCACAGCCGACTCACAGCACTGACATCACATGACTCTGACTCATGTGACACATGATAACACATGCAAGCCTTTAGAAAATCAGAAAAATGCAAAAATCTACCGTTTTTTGAAAACGTTATTGAAAGTTTAAGACTTCTGAGCAAGTTTTGGAAACGTTTGAGAAAGGTTTGGAAACTGTTGAGAAAGTTTGGGTAAAGGTTAAGAAAGTTTGGAAAAAGGTCTGAAAGTGTTTTGGCAATGTTTGAGAAAGCTTGGGAAACTTCTGAGGAAGTTTCGGAAACTTTTGAAAAAACTGCGGGGAACTAATGCAAGCAACTTATGTCAGGATTCCGCAGGGGGACACCCACAGGCCTCTATGAATACACCCAACGAAAGATGTGCACGGCTGCGTGTTCACTTCCCCGAGCCAGCTGGCGCAGCTGGTGACAGCTGACAGCTGCTGCTGAAGGACACGTCGGCGGGCTTTGTGAGTTTGTTGTCTGTGGTCGCGCCACGTTCTCCAAGAAGTTTGCGTAAAGTGAGTGCCGTCCTGCAAAACCAAGTCCGGGCCCGTAGAAGAACCTGAGAGGCAGGTGTCTTTACTCACGCAATCACCCCATTCACTCATTCGCTCGCTCGCTCGCTCGCTCACTCGCTCATTCACTCATTCACTCACTCACTCACTCACTCACTCACGCACTCACTCACTACTCATTCACTCACTCACTCACTCATGCACTCGATTGCACTCACTCACTCACTCGCGCACTCACACGACAGACACACAGTCCTTACATAGATACAGCAATCGCCACCTTGTCAGAAGCTGAAGGTGAAGGATGCACGAGTGCGGTGGGGACTTGCAGGCTCGTCCATCTGCCTCGGAGGGTTTAGGCTCGGAAGCCTCCAGATCGTTGAATGTTAGGGCGAAGGGTGCTAAGTTGGCAGCACTGTAGGGTTTGGGAACCTTATGCGCTTACGACTGTTCGGGACATGGGATTGGTTTCTTGAGACTTGTGACCTCTCCTTCGAGCATTATGTCGTTGGGCTGTTTGTTGGCCAAGAACTGGGATGCTACAACAGCAGGATCAGTAGTACCACAAGTCGTCGTCGTCGTCGTAGTAGGCGTCGTCGGAGGCAGCAGCACCAGTTGTGGCAGTGGCACGGCAAGCAAAACATCGGGCCGTCAGGACGTCCCACTCTTTTGATGGTGCTGCAAGTGACAGCGCTGGAAGTAGTAGTCATCGTCGTAGCGGCAGTAGGCAGGAGCAGGATCGACAGCAGCAACAGTAGCAGGGGCAGCTGCAGGATCTGGAGCAGGACGGCTCCATCCAGGACCAGCACGGAACTTGCTCTTCCCAAAACCCTGGCCCTGGCGAGTTTCGGGGCCAGGACACTTCGCGCTTCCTGTAAAACAGGATGCGGGGAGTCATTTTCTGCGCGCGTGCACGCCGAGGCATGTTCTGCACACTGAATGCAAGAACCGCAACACTGCTTGAGGAAAAAGTGTAGTTAGTAGTTGGGCTTGTAGTAGTACGTCAAGCGAAACTTCCGTCTCATAGTCGAAGTCATAGGTAAGGAAATAATGATAGTAATGAGAACAATAGTGTTAAATTGTTGTCAGTATTGCAGTAGGAACAATCACAGTAGTAGTAATCGTGTCAGTAAAGAGAAATAGTAACAGTAAACAGTAAAAGTAGTGGGAACTGTAGTAGTAATCATAGTCTTCATGGTAGTGTAGTGGTGCTAGCAACAGCAATCGTACTAATAACAGTATCAGTATCGCTGATAGCATTAGTATTACGTGAGGAATATCAACAGCAGGAATATCGTAGTAGTACTCGTCATCGTGATGGCACGAGAAATGGAATTGTAATTAGCAGTAGTACTAGAAGCTAATACTAGCAATAGCAATCGCAACAGCAATAGCCATGCTTGCTTCATTACTTGCTTGCTTCCTTTGCTTGCTTTGCGGTTTGCTTGGTTTGCTTGGTTTGCTTTATGATGGCTTGCTTGCTTGCTGACTGAAAAACTCCGAAAAGCGAGGGACACCCAGGAGCAGGAGCAGGCGCAGTGGGGTAGCTACGCAGTCGTGGTGCTGCTTGGTGGTTGTCGCAGGAGAAAATTCAATGCCAACAAGCTTCGGGTCCGCCAGATCTGAGTCAGTGTTCCTGACCTTAGTGTGAGAGTGATGGTTTCCTTGCTGGCCATCGACTCTCCAGTCCAGGCCACAGGCCTCCCACCTTCTGAATTTTCGAAAGGACGGACGGAGGCATGGATTTTAGGTGGTCCGCTATGCGAACAAAACTTCAATCAAGGTTGCTCAGACCTTCGCAGCCGAGGCAACCATCCAAACGAAACTTTCGACCCGGGTGATTTCTGCAAGCAATACAAGTCCGTGAACCGGGGTTCATGCCCGGCGCAGAGCTCGCATGAGCCCTAAACCCTCGACCTAGATTCCTGATCCGGCAGTCGTAAGAACACAACGCCAACTACAGTCCCTCACCCAGAATTCCCTTTCACCTTAACCTGAGCTCAAATCAAATCCCTAGTCTCAAACCCTACGAGTACCACCACTAAGTCGGTAGCTTTAGGCAGCCGCCGCGGCTTGCGCAACGAGTCTGCGCGGGCAAGGTCGCCCTGGAGTGTGACTCATTGTTGCGATGGCAAGAAGTGTTGTTAATTCTACCAATAACAGAGGCAAGAGCAAAAATAAGAACCGGAGGAGGAAGAGTTAGAACCATTTAGAATAACACAAACAAAGCCAAGAAGAATAGCACACGAACACAAGCACGATCACAACCACAGCCATCAAAACCACGAGGACCGTGACCGCAACCGCAAGTAAGCAACTACGTACAACAACAACGACAGCGAGAATACCAACCACATCCACAACGACAGCCACGACAACCCATCATCATCGTCATGATCCTCATCTTTTCTTCATCTAATTCATCGTCATCATCATCATCATTATCATCATCATCACCATCACCANNCACCATCACCACCATCATCATCATGACTACAGCTAAAGTTGACCTCAGTGCAACCACTGTCTTGTGTTGAGTCCCTCCCGATGACTAGGGCTTACAGGGAATGTGGCCTTAGAGTCGCCGTTAAGCGATCAGGATTCAGTCCAGGGCTCAGGGTCACGGCCATGATGACGTGCTGAGTGCTTCATCTGGTGCTTAAGGGGGGGGGTGGTGCAGCGGGCTTGTGGACGTTGCATCTATCCTATGAACCTATACGTGCAGACTCGGGAGCACTTTCACATGCAAGCTTAGATCAAACACGCGAGTGACGTTCCATCTTATGATGTTGGATCGGGATGGAGCTCGATCGTCAAAAGACTTCATGGCATTGCCCGAAACGTGCTCCCCTCCAAAAACCCTCTATCTGTTGGAGCGGAACTATTCGCGATATATCGAGCGGGGCAAAGCTACCACACTCTGGGGCGTACAGCTCCGGGATGAAGCAAACCCCAAAACCCCCAACGGAATATTCATTGTTGAATCTGAAAGTATTCCTTGCATCATGCAAGTCAACGGGATCATTGTCGAGGAACCCCATTGAGAGTCTCTGGGACTCACAGGTTCCCAAACCCCCCCCCCCCCCCCCCGCCGCTTTTCGGCCGTCCCTGCCTTGGGGGCCCTGCGAAGCACTCCCTCTAGATTGACTTTGCAAGTGTCAGGAGTCAAGCTCTAAATCTCAATGACTGCCAGACCGTAAAACCTCAACCTCACCTCCAAGCATCCAGCCCTTGTTGAGGCAACCCCGGGCCCGCAAGTGCAGGAAGCCGAAAATTGGATTACCTTTCCGGAATCGAATGCAGACCCACATGAGGAACAACCGATCGAGACCCTGCCCAAGAACTGGCTTAACTCCCTCAGCCCAAAACCAAAACCTTCCAATTGAAGGTTTAGACTGTTTAGACACTTGCTTCGGAGTTTTTGGGTGCCTCTGCGTAGGTGTTGGCCTTTGGTCTCGACCCGATGTGAAGCGGAAAGAGGAGGTCCTGGACTAAGGGGCAGTGGGGGCTGGGAACAGAAAGGAGAAGCCAATACCAAGCAACCGGCACCAAGAAAGTTCAACGACGTCTGCATCGGCTTAGGGGTCGGTGTCTCAGGCACTCTCATGCTCTCGCGTCCTCCTCGTCGCTGTCAACGGATCCCGTGAGGCACGGAGGCAAGAAATGCTCCTGGAGGTGGGGCTTGCGCATGCTATATATCAGAGGCACAACTGAGGTGTCAACACGGTGCTTGTGGGTATGGGGCCTTGGGTTTTTGGGTTTGCGGGCTGGCTTGAGATTTCGGACAGTTTCGGGGTGTTGGATCGGTGCGCCCGCACGCGCACGCCCGCAGATGTCGAGGTCTGCGCCGAACGGCCCCCCGTGCTCCAGGAGCTTGTTCTTTGTGCTTGAAGGGCATATAAGATCTGGAATGGAAGGCTGATTGGGCCGAGCTCTGTCAACTCCCCAATTCTAAACTGGACTCGCTCGAAGCTATCCGCTTTACCAGGAAGTTCGAACACTTCAATCCCGGAAGAAGTAGGGTGCAGGGCTACAGGCGAAAGGCGGGCAGGCTCCTTATGCGAGCAGTCTGAGCAAAAGCTGTCCACTGAGCCTGCCAACTTGACAAGCCGCATCTGGAGTTCCAGGGGTCGGGGTTGAGGGCTGCCAGGATTCTAGATTCTAGAGGAGTGGCCTGGGCTTTGAAAAAAGGGTCTTAAGGATGCTGAGACAAGGTGCACCAGCGGCGCCCTGCGAAACCCAGCTTTCAAATGCAGAATGAACAGAGGCTGGGCCAGCTCCCAAACTCCACCGAGTCCCACCTTCCCTGGAGTTTGCGTCCGAGGCTGCAGTGAGCTTTCGCGACAGGTTCAAAGCGAAGTCCTGCTCGCCAGCACGGGAGTCGAAAGGCGTGCGAGCTCTCTTCGCGCGGTAGATGTCACTAGCAGCCCTTTCCCGCAGCCCCACATTCAAGGGCTCCAGATGCAATTGGCTGGCAGTTACACTTGTGCGCAAGGCACCCCAAACCGCAAAATGCGTAGTAGTCGTCGTCGTCGTCGTCGTCGTCGCAGTGGTAGTCGTCGTAGTCGTCGAAGTCGTCGTAGTCGTCGTATTCGTCGAAGTCGTCGTAGTCGTCGCAGTCGTCGCAGTCGTCGCAGTCGTAGTCGTAGTCGTAGTCGTAGCCGTAGTCGTAGTCGTAGTAGTAGTAGTAGAAGAAGAAGTAGTAGTAGTAGTAGTAGAAGTAGTAGTAGAAGTAGTAGTAGAAGTAGTAGTA